AAATTAATCTAAATTAGTATTAATTTATATTTGGTTATCTATTTCAGGTGTAGATATAAAGCATAGTTTCTCTATATATAATAGAATTTTAGTGGATAACAGATTGAATTTGTCTGAAAATTTGATTAATATATTGAATTTTTTAAATTACAATAAATAAATAAAATTTATTAATTTATTATTTGTTTAAAAAAAAATTACATAATTTTATTATTATTTCATATAATTTTATGAATAATGAGCATCAGAAGCATAATTTGAACCAATCATATCATATAATCTGCTCTTTCATTTTATATTGCACTGAGGTCTCTACTATAATGTTCTAGCAATAATCTATATTACACAGAAAACAAAATACAATCCTTCAAACCTAGGAATACCAAGTTGATATAATATAATTTTTACAAAAATATATTGAGACCCAAAAAAGATTATATTTATAATTAAAACCTTCAAGAATTTTACCATTTATATGAGCAGATACAGATGAATAATATACAGATAAACTATCAGAATTGTGATACATCTCAAGCTCTAAAAGAAAATCTTAAAAGAATCTTCCTTAAGAACGATTTATAATTGCATATTGTATTTCTCCAATATTTCTACAAATACTGAATATAAAAAGATAAAACCTATACTATTATACTCACAAAAACCTCCTTTACAACTTTTATTATAGTATATCTTAGTATAAAAATGCTTTTCTAACTCACAAAATAGCTCCAAATAATTCTATTAGTATTTTCAAAATAATTTTCTTAAAGAAGTCTCAAGAAAAGAAGAGAAATATAGTTCTGATGATTTACAAAAATTGTAATATCTCACTCCTCACTAGACCAATTTTAATATTTCAATATACATTAGAATTGTAAGGACTTGGTCTACAACCTTACTTATGACATCAAGTCAAGGTTATATAGTACAAATATGCCTCTAGAACAATTTTGTGAAAATGATCTACAAAATATCTTTTTCTTGTTATGCCACATAGGTAAAAATTTTTAGAAATTTTCCTACCTCCTACATGGTAGATGACCTTAACAAAACTCATTACTTTTAGGGTATCATATACCTATAGTAACTAAAGAAAGTGAGTTTTACAGAATAAGATGTAACCAAACTCTTGGATACCTCATAGAGTTAAAACAACTTTACTTTAGACATATGACTTGAATATGTTTATGTTTTTGTAGATAATTATATTAGATGATGCTTATATTCAATACTATTGTAGACATAGATCCAAAATATTATGAACATTACTTTGAATATTCTATTTTTAATTTATTTATATCAAGACAGTTTGCTACTTTAGAGTAAAAGTGAACTAATGGTGAAGAATGTCTCTACCCTTTGCAAGTAGAAATTGCATAAAAAGACTTACAGTTTGTTAATTCTGAGCAAAGGATAACTAGTAGTTTTTATATTGCTATCTCTTAAAAACATAAGAAAATTTAATTTAATTTATCAAGCTAGGAAGATTCTATCAAGTACTTTTGAATATTAATGCTTAAAAAGTTCAACTACATATTTATTAATGAAAAACTTTAAATTTATTTTTATAGTATTAGAAACAGATTTTAGATTCCTAGATGTAATATACCTAGATAATAAGGATTCTAGAAGTAATATCTCTAGATGTAGCTTGCAGCTTACTACAACTCTACAGGATAAATAATGTACTAATAGATGAGTACTCTATGAGCTAAATGTGTAAGCATAAGAACTCTAAAAGCTTACAGCTTATTGTAACCCTATAGGATGAATAATACCCTAATAGACAAGTACTTCATGAGCCAAATATGTAGGTGTAAAAACTCTAAAAGCTCATAGCTTACTGCAACCCCACAGAATAAATAATACTCTGATAGACAGGTACCCTATGAGCCAAATATGTAGGTATAAAGATCTAATATTATTTTGAAAATAGAAAATACAGATTAATATTTTTAATATTTGGAATATACTACAACATCTACAACAATAATTTGCATCTTTAAAATTTTGATCTCTTTACTACAACTTCTTTAAAAACAATACTCTTTTTCTTCTTTATACTCTTAACTATAATGATAAAATATTTTCTGCTCAAAATATTTACTCTTTCTTTTAATGACTTTACCTTTTCCTTGCTTTCTTTCATCTCTCTTATCCAAATCTCACTTCATCATTAATTTTCATTAAACATAATTTTAGTTTGTTTTATTTTATTTTATTACTCTTTTTAATTATTTAATATTAGTTTATTTTTTTTTTCTTAGTTAATAAAATATATAGTAGCTATAACTATAAATAACAAGTGTTATAACTTGTTAGTATATTTGTTAATCTAAATTTTAGAAACCATATGTGATAAGGTCCGGTGACCTAGTATAGTATTAGGTTGTCAGACTGCTATACAATAGATCTAGAGTTCAAATCCTACTGTTGATGAATTTGAATAATACCTAGATCTGTGTACCAAACTTACAAAAAACTCTGCTCATTCCTGAAAAAGGAGTCCTAGAAGATTTGACAAAACCCTGTAAAAAATAGCATTGCACTAAGTCAATTGGACATTGGGAGTATAATAGTAACATTATATGAATAAATCTGCATTAGATATACGAGTAGGAGACCTGCATGGTAAAAATCCTGAGTTGGTGAAGTGGAATAGCTTTCAACAGTCACACTAGCTAACACTTGATCTGAAAAGAAACTGTTTTAAAGAATATAGATTGGAATAGGTGCAAGTAAGTCCGTATTTGTTGTAAAGATCAGTAGCACCAATTTGGCTTAGCAGCTAACTGGATTTGGGAAGATCTATCTTGTAAAATATCTAGAGAAATCGATTAATACAAAACCAGTAGAGAGTTACAGTAGAAACTGGAGTTGTACAAATATCTACAAGAGTTTAAGCTAGGTAAGTTCATGAAATAGACATAGGCTACTCTAGTAGGTTTGCTTTGAGGTTAACCAGAGCTCTGCAATACTCATAATATGTTGAGTACAAGTATCCTAAGAGGACCTAAGCTGAAGTTGATAAATAGATTTGCAATGAACTAGCTATCTTAAGCAGTTAGATATTATAGTAATGTTAGTTTGTAATGGTATAAGTTAGTTAAATAGAGTGTTTAAATAGATAACTCACAGGTGGGTTACAGGTATAGCAGCATAGTATAGTACTAACATATAGTCTAATGCCTGCATAGTGGACTACTTAAATTAGACAATAACTAAAGTTATATATGTAGCTTGTTGTACACTCTTCATGTAATTACAAACTGTAGGGGAACCCCATGTGGAACTTTGTATATCAAACTAATAAAATTCGCTCAGCCATGTAAGCTACCTTAAAAAAAAAAAAAAAAAAAACTATATGTGATTGATGAAGGTGTAAAATTATAAGTAGTAAAAGCTTCTTGTAAGCTCTAGTCTATTTGAATATGATAGATGCTATCTTGTTTTCTGTTTGTCTTACTTTATATATAAAACAGAAAAGTCTTAGAATTCAAAGTTTTTACTCATATTGTAATTTATAAAAGACTTTATCTTCTAGCCTACTACTAAATCATAGGATCTAAATTCATTTATTCTTTATTTTTTTATTTTATTTTATTTTATTTAACACTTAATAATTTAATATTTATAATACTTAAACACAGAATTTATTTCAACAACAAAATTTTTTTTATTTATTTAATTTTATTTACATTTATTTTCCTCTGTAAAACTCAAACTCTACTATCCTTTCTCTACTACTACTACCTTCACTATTATTATTATTATTATTTTTTTTTTTTTTTTCTAACTTCATCTTTTAAATTTAACACCTGAGTCTACAACTTACTCCTCTCTCTTAATAATCTCTTATACTCGTATCTCTTATCTAACTCCTTGAAATATTCTCTACAATAGTTTCTTGTTGTATCTTAACTCTTTCTTCTAACTCTCAAACTTGATAATATAAACTTCTTATCTCTCGCATTAACCTAATTAATTTTAAAACCAGATTTTAAAATATATTATTATTACTAACATAATATATTATGGATATATACCTTCTATTTTTTGTTTAGACTATATCCAAAGCTTCGAAAAAAAGATTATTTGAACTTTTTCTTAGATGCTGACCAGAGGATTTCTTTTGCTTATAGTTAAAATAGCGAGGTATTATTTTTGTTATTATTATTATTATTTTTTAAAATTTTAAATTTTTTTTTAAAAATTTTTTTTTAGTATATATATTTTTAAGAATATTTCTAATTATACACTGGGTGTATGAAACCCATATCACGTATACTAATAACATATGTACATAATATTCAATTGACCACTACTGTATTAGCATTAGTATCCTTTTTTTATACACTTTTTTCATTCGCCCTAAGGCACTAAACAAGACTTTTAGCACGTATCTTTGGCTTGTGCTTCTGCAAGTAATACTTTCAAAGTATGTATTTTATATCTTCATAAAGATTAGAGTTGCTATGAATGCTAAGAGTTCTCTAGTTTAGAATTCGTGCTGTAGTACTTTTTTTAAACTTTCAACTTTCAGTCACATTGCTTTGATTCGTTACTAATAATCGCTTGTTCGTGAGTATTCTACATTAATTGTTTTAATATCAAATTTTGTGTTAGTGCTAGCATTAATATTTTTTTTATGGGTTAGGGTTTGGGTTTGGTTGAAGATTATAAAAAATCTCTTGGCTTTCTATACATCTGTTCTAATTTGAATTACAGTATCTATACATATCATATTTATGATATTGTTTATTTAATTTGTTTAATAATGTATTTAAGATTATTTTGAAACAGGTTTCGAAAGTTATATAAAATAACTTGACTTCTGTATATTTGTATTATGGTATCATACCTCTTATTTTACTTCGTAAGTGTTTATTTTGGTATTTAAGTTTGAGCTTTATAATAGTTACACTAATTCTTTCAATTTTTTATAATTTTACAAGGGATATAATATTACTAACTAATACCAAACGTACCTTTCGTCAATAATGGTAATATAACTATTTGATCATCTTTTATAAGTACCATTCTCTAAGCATAATATTTAGTAAAATTTTTGTAAATGTAGGATTTTACAAATAAGGAGTCAGCTGAAATGATTAATGATAATTTACTTAACTCTAATGAATTCAATTTAAATGACACTGTTTACTTTGAATCTGAGATAACTATTCCTCTTGATTATTCTGATACATACAACAATTCTGTACTCTCAAAAGATGATTACCAAGATATATCTAATTATTATAATAATTCTGTACACTCAGATGATAATAATTATATAGCCACTCAATTATGCAACTCAGTGAATGAAGATGAATTAGATAACAATGAAACAGATGATGAATTGCATTTGGAATTGGTAGTTGGTATTTCATTTTCATACTGGGAATCTTTTAAAGCTTGGCTTAATCGTTTTGCACTGCAGGAAGGGTTTGATTATAAAATTAGGACAAGTGAAGCAGATAATAAAGGCATAATTCGAAGAGCAACCTATGTGTGTACAAAAGCTGGCACTCACAGTCCAAACATAACAGTTGATCCTACTAAGCGTCATAATACTAAGTCTCAAAGGACTAAATATTCTTGAAAATTATGTGTTAAATATCCAAAGACAATTGCAAGAGTAAAAATCAATTCTTTTTGTAATGTTCACAATCATCTACTTACCTCTATGGTTAGTAAGATTGCTACATGATATCACAAGTTGACTCCTGATATGTTATCAGATATTAAAAAGAATATAATTCAGGGCAGAATAGATTCAGATTCAATTTATCCTTTACTTCGACATGATTATCCTAACTATCTATTAAATAAACAGGATTTATACAATGCTGTATATAATTTTTGACAAAATCATAACCCTGGTAACTTGGATGCTTCGTTAATGCTTCAAATGTTATTAAAGTGGAAGGAAGAAAATCCTTTATGGGTAGTTGTACTACGTATTAAGACAGTATCAAGAAAGTTAAATTCTTTATTATGGCTATCTCCAGCATAAAAGTTACTTTATGAGCAATTTTATGATGTTATAATTATAGATGCAACTGCAAATACGAACTGATTCCAAATGATGCTTTTTATTGTTGCTATAATTGATAACAATTTTAAAACAAGAATTATAGCAAATTGTATTATTGAGGATAAGACATTAGATACTTATAAGTGGATTTATGAAACATTGCTTGAGGAGACGGATGTTATATCTACAGTAATATTTACTGATAGTAATCCTGCCATGATAAGTGCAATTAAGTTTGTATATCCTACCACCAGTCATATGTTATGCATATTTCATATAGATATGAACCTTAAAAA